TCTTGGAGGAAGAAGCCTTTGCAACTAAAAAGTGAGATAAGGGATGCTATCCGCATGACTTAATGGAAGTGCTCATGTACAAATCTCGGGCTGCACGATGGCGAACGGACCGAATATATAAGCATTATGTACGAATTATTATGACCATTTGAACATCGATCGGGGTTTGTTGTGTCTAAGTATTAAGTGCAGTCAGATACACAAAAACACAACCCATTCCCGTTCCACAGCAGAAGTTGAATATTGCCTGTACCAGTGATATCAGTATTAATGGATAAACAGCATGCGAGTTTCGATGATTAAGTGGTGGTTAAGAATCTGGCCTCTTGACTACATCGACACCTCAAAAGGCCGCATCTGATCCGTATTCGAGTAATTCGTAGCATGGCACATGCATGAGGGTCGGAAGGAGGGCGCTTACACTCTTGAAGCAATACAACTAAATCCCCCACCAGGAACTGAAGAAATTCAGTGCTCGATAGTGTCGCCAACGATAAAACGCGTGGAGTACTCTGGAGCTTAATCTGGTCCTAGAGCGTTTGCCCATGAAAAACAGGAGTTGCTTGCGTGGCATGCGAAATAGACGCTGTGACCTGAGGCATCCGCCAGAGAGCCTGTTGGTGTGATCTCTTCAACGTGTGCCAGACAATCGCTTACAATTTTTTTTGGACAAGGGCGTGCCGGTCACAATTTATTCCCTTTAATACGGAGAAAGTCGAATCTATCAATGACTATGTTTATTGTTGTCTGGAGTCAAAGAGGACATAGATTATAAAGCGTAGTAAGTTCAGTGAAGCGTCGGTAATGTTGGCGGAAATATAAGATAGGATTCCAAAGACAATATCTTAAACAATATCCGAAAATGTAAACTAACGGTGTTGGCACGGTTGGAGGGGAATTATCGAACTAAAGTGGGAATCAGTTACTGAGTTACTTTGATGAAATCAACTTAATTCGGAATTCCTAAATATGATGCGTGGCACAGGACCAGCATACAAACCGGGTCGAGTTGTTTGCGCTTGGAGCAAAAGCCAGTAAAAACAGGTCAGGTTGGGAAAAGTTGCTGCAGCTAGGTAGCAAACAGGTAGCCCGGCAATCAATAGCAGAAAGTCGTCTCTCTGGGTGCGTGAAAGAGATAACTGAAGTTTATGGGTCCCGGCATTGAGCGTGGGTATTTTGTCGCCTATAGCACATTAGCCACGGGCACGACATTAACTTGCTGTGAACTCAAGGCAGCTCAACGCTAAGTCTCACACGCTTACAGATACGAATTAACCAAGGCGAGAGGCAAACAGGAAGGCGTGGGTCAACTATCACGCTTATGGCCATGAGAAACGTACTTGCACAGAACTAATTTTCGCAAACATTCTCTCATTAGCGTCGACTAAGCCCAAACTCACCTTCACCATTTTCTCAGCCGTTAGGGATATTTGGGAGAAACAAATATTTTATCGTGATGTGAACGCATTCAAACATTATTTCCTCATAACCGTGTTCCGTTTCTTAGGTGTCATTAGTAAGAGTGCTAATTCCTCTTGTGTGATAAGGCATTATGCAATAAATGACTGCCTGCTAGCACTTTATTTGCAAGTAAGACTGCCGTTTGTAGATGCTATATCACTTCAAATATATAAAACGTCTTAGCAAATACGCAATGGAAAACTTTCTGGGGTAGGCTAACTGCTAGTAAGGGGTTTAAAATACTTAATGGAAAACTTTCTAGGGTAGGCTAACTGCTAGTAAGTGATTTACCAGACACGTAAAAATCGGTAAAGAGGTTGACGATGAAGATTAGAAATGATACAACTCACGTAGGCCAACTGCTAGTAAGTGATTTACCAGACTATTCTAGTGGAAAAGTCGTACAAATCTGCCAAGAGGATACGATGAAGATTAGAAATGATACAACTCACTTAGATCCTTCACGATCCTAGCCGCATTAGTCAAGCAGTCGACTTGCCAAAGGATGACTCCGTGAAGACCGGGCTCCAAGTTCGTTGGGTCGCGATTGTGAAAATTGATAGATATCTCGTTTGCAAATTGTTGCTGGATTCGGCTGATCCCGAGAATGATCACCAGAGAGGTGTCGTTGAAGGGCGAAATAAACAGCGGT